AAGAAGGCGTGAAGTTTGATGAGAGTGAGAAAACCAAGGAGAACCGGGAGGCAACAGAGAAGGAGTACGAGCCTCTGCTCAGCTGGATGAAAGACAAGGCCCTTAAGGACAAGGTACTCTGCCGTGGGCAGACTCCAGCACCTACACTCAGGAGTTATCCACAAACTTGTCCACACCTGCTGTCTTGGTGACCGCTAGCGGTTGCAGAGAGTGGCACTTGTAGCCTCAGGTACTCGGGTACCAACAGGAAACGCAGTGCAGCCCAGTGACCCCTTCATCTGCTGTGCCAAAGACCCGGGGTTCGGGCCCCAGCCCCGCACAGCAGCAGTAGAGTAAGATTTAGTACAGGCTGGAATGAGCTTGCAGCTTAGAGAAGTTTCGTATTGTTAGAGTACTGATTTTACTGATTTTGCACTAAGTTTTTACAGATTTAAGTTTAAACCTATAGCTTTAAAAAAGAAAAAAACAGATTAAGTCAGTGTCACTCAAGGATTCCTGGTCGGAGTGCCTGTCTATCATCTGGGGTGGTGGATGCATTGCCTGCCTGCTGATGCTCACTTGGGTCTAACGTTTCTCATCCTAAGATTGAAAAGGCTGTGGTATCGCAGCGTCTCACAGAGTCCCCCTGTGCTCTTGTGGCCAGTCAGTATGGATGGTCTGGCAACATGGAGAGGATTATGAAGGCACAAGCATACCAGACAGGCAAGGACATCTCTACAAAGTAAGTGACCGGGGAATGTCCCTACCACGGTGGCAGCTCTTGTCCTTTTATGTGCAAATGTACATTTTTCTGATCTGCTCCATGTATCATCCTTACCTTCCTTATGTTCACTTTGGGTTAAGAATAACATCTATAGGTCAGGCGGTGGTAGCATATGCCTTAATCCCAGCGCTGGTCTGCAGAGCGAGTTCTATCCAGGGCAGCCATAGCTACACAAAGAAGCCCTGTCTGGGCCGGGGATGATGTCCACATTTACATCATGACTCACCAGTGTTTTTTGGTTTGATTTTTCGAGACAGGCTGCTTCTCTAGAACTCACTTTGTAGACCAAGCTGACCTTGAACGTAGAAAAATCTGCCATGCCCAGCATTGTAATGCCATTTAAAACATAACTGTCCACTCGGCACTCCATGCAGTTACACTGTGGCAGCTCCTGTCTTCGTGGCCATCAGGTTGTGCCCTGACACATGTGTGATCAGTCCTCTGGCCTTGGAGTTGCAGAAATCGTTGAAGTCACCAGGAAAATGCTAATGAGCATGAGAATGTACAGAACACACTGCAAACTTTTCATTTGGTGTTAATTAAAAAAGTGAATCTTTAGGGGTTCATACATACATAAGCAGCACCCACCACCTGTTAAGGCATTAAGGAATGAAGAAGACATTAAACCAATTCTTATTCCAGCAGAACTTGGTTACTTGGGAGTCATCATTAAATAGTTCCTTTTATTTCATTTTTTTTTAACCTAACCATGGCCACTCCTCCTGTTCGGAGAAGCAATAGTGTTTTCTGTAATTAAAGCTAGAATATAGAATACATTAGGCATGTGGACCCTAAAATTGATGTCTTAACCAATGATCATCTTGTCTCTGAACAGTTACTATGCCAGTCAGAAGAAAACGTTTGAAATTAATCCCAGACACCCGCTCATCAAAGACATGCTGCGGCGGGTTAAGGTGAGTGGCGGTGTGCTCTCTCCTGCCTGTCTAAACTGGGCCGCAGTATAACTCAGAATACTAATGTTGATCAAACGTGCCTTCTCTCAGGAAGATGAAGATGACAAGACTGTCTTGGACCTTGCTGTAGTTTTGTTTGAAACAGCAACACTTCGGTCAGGGTACCTTCTACCAGACACCAAGGCATATGGAGACAGAATAGAAAGAATGCTTCGCCTCAGTCTGAACATTGACCCTGAAGCACAGGTTTGTGCCCGTGGCTCTTGCACAGGTGTTAACTAAGTGGTTCTGTTTCAGGGGCTTTAGTTTTCACTGTAAGAGATAATTTACTCCATGCCTGAACCCTAGAGGAATGTGAAGTGGAGAACATCACATTGTCTTCCTTTCTGATAGTTTCCCCGTTAACAAAGATTTACTACAGTTCTTATTAAAACTCCCATTAGAATCTTAAACTGAAGAGCAAAGTGAAAGTGGATGGAAGGCATTTACCAGGTTCATGGATGTCACCTTTAGGTAGAAGAAGAACCAGAGGAAGAGCCTGAAGACGCAGCAGACGACACGGCAGAAGACACAGAGCAAGACGAAGAGGAAGAGGTGGATGCAGGCACGGAAGAGGAAGAAGAACAGGAGACAGCAAAGGTCTGAGGGAGAGTGGGGCTGGACTGAGTTCTTCCCAAGCAGGGCAACATGAGGCTAGCAAATAGACTTCTACTAGCTAGTCACACTGGAGTAAGTCCTTGTAGCGTGGGCATATAACACCAAGCTCAGAAGCTTGGGGGAAGGTTTTATTCCTTTATTTTATCCAACCATTCACAAGATCTTTGTAAACAGATTGATCACACACACACACACACACACAGAGTGCTGCCCCCTGTAAGGAAACATTCGGGGAGTAGGGAGCGTTGAGATAGAATATCTCTGTAATCCTGTGCCACTGCCTCCCAAGTGCTAGGATTCAAGATGTACGCTACCATGCCTGGCTAACATTAGATATTTTTAAGTTTTGATTATTCAGATTTAGACATTGATATTAGTGGGTTTTAAACTATTTGGCCAGTAAATAACTACAAACAAAATAGTATGACCCAGGCAGTGGTGACACAAGGCTTTAATGCCAGCACTTGGGAGGCAGAGGCAGGCGGATCTCTGAGCTCGGGGCCATCCTGGTCTATAAGAACTAATTCCAGGACAGGCACCAAAGCTACTGAGAAACCCTGTCTCGAAAAAACCAAAAAAATAAAATAAAAAATAATATGAACAGTTTAGATGTGAGCGTTCCTGTAAGGGTTAGCGGCTAGTCTGAATGTCTTCTGACTTTGTTTTCACAGGACTCCACAGCAGAGAAGGATGAACTGTAGATTACACTCTCACCACGGGCCCTGTGCTGAGAGGGAATGTGAAATGTTAGTCGTTTCTTTTCAGAGAGACTTGTTTGGGATGCTCCCCCACACCCCTTCTCCCCTGCACTGTAAAATGTTGGGGTTATGGGTCACAGGAAGAAGTGGGTTTTTTAGTTGAGTTTGTTTTGTTTTGGTTTTTTTTTAACATTCCTCATGAATGTAAATTTGTACTATTTAACTGACTATTGGTGTAAAATCTTGTCATGTGTATAAAATAAAAAAGGTCCCAAATACCCACTGCCTGTTTTCATGACACAGAGCAGGAATTCTGTGATACTTTTTCTTCTTCCTGTCTGCTGGGTTCTTCCAAAAAAAAGAATAGTTTATTCAGGTTTGGCTTGTGTTTTCAGATCATCTTTTTACTTAACAAGGTGGAATACATGCAAATAATTCCCTCCGGAGATCAGAACGTGTTTTGAATGTGAGCTAGACTTTGTAACAACTTTCTGGAATCCAGACAGGAAGGGAAAACTGAAAATTATCTTCAGAGGTCATGGAACACTTAGATTGAGAAGTCCTCGCAGGTTAGAGGAAGTTGCCTAGAAACCGAGGCCATTAAATGGGTGGTGGGGATCAAGTGGGCCCTAAAGTAAATACAGTGAGGGCCACAGTATAATTAAGTCACTTGCCAGTGTTGGGAACATGCTTGTACAGGCATTCCAGCTGGCCTCCCGAGTGCTAGGATTAAGGGTGCACATACCATGGTAATTTTACGTTAGCTGAGCATGGTGGTACACTTGACAGGAGTATCTCTGAGCCCAGTAAGACAGCCAGTGCTGGGAATAAACAGACCCTGTCAAAACCTTTAAACATTGCTGTCAATGAGTGTTTTGCTTTGCCTGAATGTGTGCCCAGAGAGCCAAGCCAGGCAGATCTTGAATTCAAGATCAACCTAATTTACTTACTAAATTCCAGGACCAGACAAGTTTACATAACAGAAAATTCCCCTTCAGCACTCTAGTCTGCTCATTAGGGTGGACTTACAAATCCTTGTCTGGGGCTGGAGAATGGCTGCAAACGACTTGTTGCTTATAGAAGACCAACATTCAGTTCCCAGAACCCATCTGGTGGCTCAAAACCAATCTATAACTCATATTCCAGGGAATCTGACACCTGCCCTCCAGGGGCAATTCACATGTCCATACATTCATGCAACTTGTGGAGAGATGGTTCAACAGAGGACCAGGTTCAGTCCTCGGTACCCACATGGCCTCTCAACCATATGTAACTGCAGTTCAGGGTATCTGATGCCCTCCCCTGGCTTCTGAGGGAACTAGGCATGCACCTGGTACATGCGGGCAATGAATGCATCCATACATTAAAAAATGGGTCAGTTGAATAAATTATTTTGTTCTATATTTATAGATTGAGCAAAATTTTTTTTTAAATATTTATTTATTTATTATGTATACAATATTCTGTCTGTGTGTATGCCTGCAGGCCAGAAGAGGGCACCAGACCTCGTTACAGGTGGTTGTGAGCCACCATGTGGTTGCTGGGAATTGAACTCAGGACCTTTGGAAGAGCAGGCAATGCTCTTAACCTCTGAGCCATCTCTCCAGCCCCCGATTGAGCAAAATCTTAAAACGTTCATTTCCTAGAGCCGATGGTAGAAATCTAGGCGGCAGGAGATGTGGTATCACGGTTCTGAAGGACAACATGGGAAGTGCAGTGTGAGCAGGCCCTTGTTCTGAGACGGTAGAATCCTTCCTTTCCTCGTCCAAGCTTCGGGTGCAGGCTTCAAATACTTGGTGTTCTTGGCCAGAAGTTCCAACACTCCAGTCCCTGTCTCCACACAATGTCCTCCCTGTGTATGTTCTCGTGGCATTAAGACAGTGGTCACTGTATCAGGCCCACCCTCATGGCCCCAATCCTGCACTCACAGACAATGAGGGTTGAGGTCAACATTTTTTAGGGACACAGTTCAACTGCACATTCATTTTTATGTGTATAAAGAAAATGCCAATTTTAATTCACTTTCTCAAATTTTGGGGGATTTAAGCACCTTACTAATGTTGCAATTCCATCAGGCACACAATTCCAAAGAACTTTGAATTTTGAATATTTTATACAGTCTCAGTCTCATGTGACGCTGAAGATAAGCATCTTCTCAGTCGAATGCAGGAGACTGAAGCTTGGGCAGCTCTTATGAGTGCAGTCCTTCATACCTGTAATTCACCATTTGGGAAGTGGGGGCTGGAGGACTGTCCTGAGGTCAGCTTGGGCTACATAGCAAGACCTTGTTGCAGAGGCCAGCGTGATCTACACAGTGAGCTCCAGGTGAGACTTTAGAAAATACTGACCGGATCATAATACAGGCTCTACCTTATCAGTTCCTATCAACCATCATTTGTTCTTAGATTAGATGTTTGAAGAAGTAGTTTTACTCAATACATTAAAAAATATGTATGGAAAATATTATTCACAGAATTCTTGGCAGAGTTGTATTTTGAAGTTTCTACTGCTGTGAAACCTGAGGTTCGTGGTGTCTCTCTTTCAGTCCCAAAAGCTCCGTTTTGAGTTCTCCAGGCTTTGGTGGGATTTCAGGTATTGTCTATAAAAATAAAAACAAGAGCCAAAAGACAGTTGCTACCACATTCTGAGACAACAGTTCAATGTGATCTGAAAAGGAACAAAACACCTTGTGCATCTACTCAGCAACAGACTGTGAAGAGGACCCCAATTTGATTTACATTTCTTGCTCTCTGTGTATTTATGACTAAATCATCTGGCAATATCTTAAATCCTATAGTACCCACAGGATACATTCAATTAACTCACAATTTCAAATGAGGAAGGCAGAAAAAAATGCAGGGGGTGCAGCATATGTGGCTAAGTTTGATTCCTAGCACCACAAAAGAAAAAAAAATACAGTGGTTGTCAATACAGTATGATCTTATAAGCTGTAAGTCTATCACAACAGAATTTTAGAATCTTTTCACTGCCCCCCAAAAAACTCCTGTCTCATTCCCAGTTCCCCCCACAAGCCACTTCTGTCCACATATATTTGCCCATGGTATATCATGTAATCTTTTATGACTTGATCCTTTCATTTAGCATGTTTTCAAGGTTCATTCATGTAGAATCACTGAGTAATTGATATTCCTCTATATAGATGTATCATGTTTTATACAGATATCTGCCTTGTTCCTACCTAGGAACATGTACAAGGTCAAACAAATCAGTATGATGGCGTACGTCTTGGTGTTTGTTAGGTGGAAACCTAGAAGGGGAATTGCTGGGACATACGCTGTTGGAGGAACTCCCAGGCTGGGTTTCAGTGCAGCTCCCAACTTTATATTTCCCCAACTTCTCCATGTCCTTCCAACTGTTTTATGATGGACATCACATCGGTGGTTCTGACTGCATTTCTCAGGTGATTAAGGATAATGAGAATCTTTTCACAGGCTTTTGGGCTGAGATGACTTCTGAAAACAGGTATGGAGGAAGATGAGGAAGCCATCTTGCAGGTATCTACGAGTTTTGGAGGCTGATGGGATCACAAAGGCAGAGGACCTGAGTCATGACTGTGCCTTCGTGTTCAAGGAAAAGCATCGGTACATCAGATACAGCATTCCAGAGGATAGAAGGCTAGCTTGTGGGAGGCGGAGGGGGACATAAAGACTCTGCTGGCCTCCACTCTGGGAAGAGTTCTGAGAAGAACGACCTGATCTGACTCAAGGATAAAAAGATGCTGATGGAGAGACCAGGAGTGGAAGGCTGAAGACAGTCAGGAAGCTCCTATCTTAACGGAGGAAGGTGAGAGCTGGTGGCCTGAACACGGTAGGCACAATGGCGGCTCGAGAAGTGGGCAGGATGTGGACGGATCTTTCATATTCCCCCAGTCGAATTTATTGAGGCACGCAGTGAATTATGAAGACTCTGAGGTTTCAGTCTAAATAACTGCAAGACGACAGCTGTCACTTCTGCTGTCCTTATGCTGGACAATTAAAAGCATCCTTAACTGTTGCCGCAAGTCAGCACTGAGTGCCAACCCTAGGCAGCCATCATGGTCTCTCCTCTGCTCTCTCCCTAAATCTTTTAGTTTTTGTACCAGTGGTGGCTGGAATAATTCCAAAAGACTAGGATGGCAAAGGACATAAATTCCTTAAATACTAGGAAAACATACAGCATCCTATAGCAGCCAGCCACCTGGGCCTTTAAGTCAATCAGGAAAAGATGCCCTACTGCCAAAGTGACCACCCAACCCGACTGACGTAGCCTAGGACCCTTAGTACGCTCATTTTTGAGACTGTGCTTTTCGTGTTGCTTTCTCCCTGAGTACAGGTAGCTGCTGGTAACAACCCTTGTACACGTCCGGTAGTAATGAGATGAACCAAGTCAACCTCACAGGATCAAAGTCTAGGCATTGTTTCCTTGGTTAAAGAGCTGCTGGGAACTATTCCTGCAGAAGATAGACACAAAACTGCATTTCCGTGGCAAGTTCTTGCCACTTTTTGTCTCCACTAAATTTCTTGACATTCCACTATCATCCCTCCCCCACCCAGGACAGGGTGTCTTTCTGTAGCCCCAGCGGTCTGGGAACTCGCTCTGTAGACCAGGCTGGCTCACTCTAACTCTTAAAGAGACAGTCGTTAAGTGTTAAGAGCGAGCTGTTAAGAGCACTGTTTAACAGAACACCCCGAACGCTCTACACGTCAAGAGCGGCCGAACAAATGGACAGACGGAATGCTGGGGTGTCGCCCCAGGATGGGGCACTCACCAGGTCAGGCCGGTAGTACCAGTGCACTACCTGGGCCCCGGCGCACATGGCCAGGAGGCTGGAAGAGAGCATTTTCACGTAGGCGGACCAGGGCACGCCCCCGGGCATGGTGGAGAGCTGGCAGGGGAGGGAAGGGCACGGCGTTAGAGGAGTGGGTGGGTGGCTTCTAGACTGTGCGACTGCTGCGGCACCCGAACTCGCGCGGCTTCCTCCGCGGTGACCGGCGCTGCACCCGCTCGGCTGAGCAGGTGGAGGGCGGGCCTGGTGTGTCCTCACCCCTTCAGCCTGTCAGGGAGCAGTTACTACCCCTAGCTCCTGCCCCGGACCACGTGAGCCCGTGCCCAGGGCGACCCAAGGTTCCCTCAATTCCCGGAGCGGACGGTCAGGGGCCGGACACAAAGTGGAAGGGGACCGGCGCCACGCCGGAGAGGAAAACGAGGGCAATGCGCGCGCAGGCGCATTCGTGTGCTACTGGCGGAAATGAGGCGCTGAGTTTTTTTATTTTTCGGTTTTTGTTTTGATCGTTTCCACGCTTTAGCCAGCCTGCTCGTGGTCACTGTCCCTATTCTGTCGTTTGCCTTCCCTGGCCGTTGTGTGGTGTTTACGGCATCATTTCTCCTTTCGCACAAAGGAAGCGACAAGACCCTGTCCCCTTCCCGTGCTTAGGAGGAGGGATTTCGCTGCTGTACCCGTAGTGCTCCTACCAGAGGTCACGCTCTTGAGCCACTTTTTTCAACTTATGGATCGAGACCCCGTGGGTTAACCTGGGGATACCATATTTACTTTGTAGTTAATAATTATAGCAGAATTACAGTTAAGAAGTAACAATGACATAATCGTAGGGTTGGGGTCACCACCACGTGAGGGATTATTATATTAAAGGGTCAGGGCATTAGGAAGGTTAAGAACCGCTGCTCTAGAGAAAGATGCAAAGGTTTATTCTTCCTGGTCCTGAAGGTCTTTGGAACTTTACGTAGAGTCACGCCCAAGCTTGGTACCTTTGAGAGACGGTGTTTCTGGAAAAGAGACCTCAATCTATGCAACTTAGTCTATGAGTTTTTAAATGATCGTGCTCATTTTTTTATTTTTCTGTCCTTTTTTCTTTGTTTTACATTCCAACCACAGTTTTCCCTCCCACCCCTCTGTGGATTCATTTTTGTTAAAGCAAACTGAAAGAATTAATTCTGAAGAATTAAGGTGGCATTGTGAAGCATGAATCTTGAAAACATTTTTACAACTTTGGCCCTGAAAATGGCTCAATGAGTGAGGAGGCTTGTTGCTAAATCTAACCTAATTTTGCTCCTCCGGCCCTATATGGTGGAAGCAGAGGGCCAACTCCATGAATTGTTCTCTTACACACACACACACACACACGCACACACACACACACTTTTTTCCCCATTGTAATTGTAACGTCCTGTATCTGATGAGGACATCCCAATACCATGTTCTCCACACCAAGGAGATTTCTTTGCCCGAGAAGGACAGAGGGCAGAGAATAAGAAACAAAGGCAGGAGATAGAAGATGAGGAAGAAAAGGGAAGGGAACAGGAGAGAAAGTGAAGGATTATTTTGGGGGGAGGGAGGAGGACAGACTGACTACCAAGGACTGCCTCTGGATAGAGAGGAGACAGACACGACCCATAGGCAAAGGGAAGTTTATAAAGGTAAAAGGGGAAACCCAGTGCTAGGATGAGTTAGTGTGTTTTGAATGGGCATATTACTTAGGTGAACCAAAGGGGGCTTTTGATTACTGGACATCGATACTTGACAGCTGGACCTTGGTAGTCAGCATCAGAAGGAGGAAGTGGACAAATAAGGGAATAGACCATTGTGGCTAGCTTTAGGATGTAATCTAATGGTTGTTAGCAAGGTAGAGGGAATGGAGTAGAATGGCCAGGCCCGCCAGAGTCATATATGCTATGCTCAGGTTGGCTAGAATCCCTTCAATAGAAAAAAATTTTTTTTTGTTTTAACTGCATGGTAATATATTTGACTTAATAATTTCATGTGGTTTACCATGTGTACATTCCTAAAACCATTTTTACAACTGAGATCATCAACAAATGTTTTCTGTGTGTTCATTTGTGTGCACATGTGCAATTTAGAAGTCAGGGGATAATTTCAGGGGCATCACACTTCAGGCCCTGTCCATTCCTCTCCTTTTCCTTTCCTTTCTTACCAGACTAGGTCTCTCACTGACCTGGAATTCCCAAAGTAGGAGGGGATAACTGGCCAGTAAACCCGAGAGATCTGCCTGTCTCAGATTCCCAAGTGCTGGGATGATAGCCAAAACTAATTGGTGACCTCCAGGCTCCAGTCTCAGAAACACATACGTAAAGGAAGTGTGGAAGTTTGAATAGGAATGGCCCCCAAAGACTCGGGGATTCGAATGCTTGGCCCAGAGGAAGTGTCACCATCAGGAGGGATGGCCATGTTGGAGGAAGTGTGTCACTGGGGGTGAGATTTGAGGTCTCAGATGCTCAAGCCAGGCCCAGTGTCTCACTCTCTTCCTACGGCCTGTGGATTGTTGGGAGCTGCAGATCCCTGGCCCCTTGACTTCCTTTGCTTGCTTTAGACTCTTTGCCTGCTGGAGTGATCTGAGCACAAGACCTGTGCCTGCAGCTGCTCTGAGCAGGAGACCCTGATAATGGAGTGGGTTCTGATGAGACCTGAGATCCCGAGAGCTGGGGTGTGGCCAGAGCACTATATCAGCTGCCCCTGAGCACAATAAAGTTGGCATTCTTGTATCAAGGATGACCCGTGTCCATGTCTCTCTGTGTGTCTCTGTCTATGTGTTTTTAAGTCTCCAGCTTAGTTCCCGGCTCCCATACCATCTTGCAGTGGCACGGGCGCTACAGGACCATTTTCGGGTTTTTACAGTGGATCAAGATGTAGAACTCTCAGCCACCTCTCCAGCACCATGTCTACTTGCATGCTGCCAGGCTTCCCACCACGAGGGCAATGGACCACACCCCTGAACTGTAAGCCAGCCCCATTTGAATGTTTCCTTTTAAAAGTTGCCATGGTCATGGTATCTGTTCGCAATAATAAAATCCTAACTAAGACAGTGTAAATAAAAATAAGATACAGAGCAACTGAGAAATTACTTGGTGTCAGCCTCTTGACTTCCACACATATCCACAGGGGTACAAATACACCCAAACACACACATGTATGCAACACACAAATAAAAATGCATCATAATAGCTCAAGCTGGTCTTGAACTTGCACTGATCCTCCTGCCTCAGCCCCCCAACTGCTGGGATTATAAACGCATACCACCATCCCGCACTCTGGATTACAGACTTTCACATACTTACCTTTGGTGACATATCTATTCAAATCTCTAGCCCATACTTTTTTTTTTTAAATATATTTATTTATTTATTTAGTATACAATATTCTGTCTGTGTGTATGTCTGCAGACCAGAAGAGGGCACCAGACCTGATTACAGATGGTTGTGAGCCACCATGTGGTTGCTGGGAATTGAACTCAGGACCTTTGGAAGAGCAGGCAATGCTCTTAACCACTGAGCCATCTCTCCAGCCCTAGCCCATACTTTTTAAGATTAATTTTATGCATGCATAGGAGTGTTTTGTATGTGCTCTGTGTGCACACCTGTACGCTCGGAAGTCAGAAGAGGCTGTTGAATACTCTGAAACATCTGTGTGCTGGGAACAAACCCCAGTCCTCTGTGAGAACAGTATGTCTTTTCTGAATAATTTATTTTTATTTTATGTGCATTGGTGTTTTGCCTGCATGTATGTCTATATGAGAATGTCAGATCTTGGAGTTACAGTTGTTAACTGCCATGTGGGTGCTGGAAAGTGAACCTGGGTCCTCCCGAAGAACAGTCAGTGATCTTAACCGCTGAGCCATCTCTCCAGCCCCCAAAATGTGCTTTTACCTGCTAAACCAACTCTCCATCTCAACTTGACCATTTGCTTATCAGATTGTTTCTTTAAAAGTATGTAATGTTCTTTATTTTGTATACAAGTCTTTTATCACATACATTCTGCAAATATCTTCTTCCAATCTATGCTTTGTCTTTTCCTTAGTAGAATAAAGAGAAGCTTTTAATTTATATAATTTTCAAACTTATTAAACCCCACCCCATTTTGAGACAAGGTCCCTCTGTGTAGTTCTGGCTACATAGTCCTGGCCTGCAGTGCATAATGCCTGTGTGCGTTCTACGCACTACCATACAGTTCATGAGCTTCAGGCAAGGGACTGGAGGTTGAAACACACAAAGACACACAGACAGAGAGACAGAGACACGGACCTCTAATCACTGGTATGAAGCCCTTTATTCAATAGCGCCATGGAGGCTTATATACCCAACAGTCAAGTGGGCCAACAGGTGAAAACCTTATCCTCTGATCCTCAAGGCAAGGCAACACGTGCTTGTGAAGCAGAGCTGGTAAACAACTTTGACACAGCTTTCAGTAGCTCAAATCAGAAGGAAAGTAAAGATCTCTAGCAGGGAAGAGCAGCTGGAGGCCAGGACTTCTAATGGTCCCAACATTGGCTAAACAGGAATTTGATATGAAGACCAGACTGGCCTCAAACTCACAGAGCTCCCCTGCTTCTGCCTCCCTCGTACTGTGCCACGGACCACCTCTCATGGAGGCACTCAGACCGTGGGAGAATCAGGGCGAAGGCTCAGAAGATTTCAGAAATCGGAGAGGAATGACAGGCAGACACACTCAATGTGGTTGAATATGCTGCTGCAACTTTACTTTTGTCAGTGTAAGATTTATATTCTTTTACAATCAAAAAAAAAAAAACTTGGCAAAGACATACATCATCAGATCATAAAAAAAAGAACAGCATAAAACAGTTTACAAAGAGAATCTTTGAAGATGCTTTGACTTGGGTACAAGGACTTTTGCTCAGTTTGTGCCAGGTGACTGGCTGGGCTAAGTGACCTTGTGCTCAGAATATCTTGAGGTGTGAGAGGAGAAGGCCACTATCTTCCCAGGAAAACTTTCAGCTAGAAAATTTTAAAGACATGATCTCAAACTTGTCTGAAACTTATCTCATACCATAAATCTCAACTCTCTTCCCTCCCCGACTCTCAGGGTCAGATGTTGTAATCAGCCTAGGTTTTTTTTCTGGCCATAAGGAAGGCTGCATAGGCCTCCTGTTAAACTGCACGTATACCTCAGGCAAATGTCTAGTGGGGGTTGCTGCAGCTGTTTTCCTACAGAAGGCTTCTAAGGTTTCTCCTGATAAGAGCAATTCCTTTTGCTCCACATCATTAAGGAATTATTCTAACGATGACCTCCCAATTCCCAGAACTGGTTATTTCTCTTAAGGCTTTAATGAATGGTGGGGCAGAGCTCAAAATGTCCTCAGCAGTCTTGTTTGTATCCACAACTGCCTGAAATAGTCTGATCTGTTGGCAATATGCAA